AGAGGTTGCAGTGAGCTGATATCATGCCACTGTACTCCAGCCTGGAGACAGATCGAGACTCTGTCTAAAAAAAAAATTAAATTGATAGAGTACTTTGTATATTATTAATAAGTTAAATAATGATAGGTAACTACAGCACCAACTACACCAAGCATTGTTCTAAGAACTTTCTATATACCGTTAATTCATTTGATCCTCACTATGACCCTGTTTGATTGATTAGGAGACCCAGGCCCAGGGACGGTCTCTTCTGGGTGACTTCTGAAACTGTGAGAGCAGAGCCAGACACTGCATGTACCAGCCACTGCATTAAATTCTGCCTCCACTTTGCTCTGCTGCATGTCTTCAATACCTTTTTTTTGCCCCAATTAAAAAAAAGTTTGTTTCTGAGACAGAGTTTCCCTCTTATTGCCCGGGCTGGAGAACAGTAGGGCAATATCGGCTCACTGCAACCTCCGCCTCTCGGGTTCAAGCAATTCTCCTGCCTCTGCCTCCCCAGTAGCTGGGATTACAGGCATGTACCATCACACCCAGCTAATTTTGTATTTTTAGTAGAAATGGGGTTCCTCTGTATTAGTCAGGCTAGTCTCGAACTCCTGACCTCAGGAGTTCGCCTGACTTGGCCTCCCAAAGTGCTGGGATTACAGGCATGAGCCAACACACCCGACCTCCAGAACCCTTTTACTGTGTAAAACGAAAACTGTCCCTATTAAATAGTAACTCCCCATTCTTCCTGCCACTGCCCCAGTCCCTAGTAACCACCATTCTACTTTGCGTCTGCATGGATTTGAGGGCATTAGGTACCACGTGTAAGCAGAATTATACAGAATTTGTCATGACTGGCTTACTTACAGCTCTGTTTTTAATTAAGGCTTTAAATACCTCTAGAAATATTTCCATATATGAGACATAATACAACTTTAATTTCTCCTAAATGTATTAATGATCCTTAAATCACTGAACTGAAATGTCGCCTTTGTGAAATAGTAAATTCCCCTCTGTTCTGAGGTCATTTCTGGGATCTCCATCTTAGTCTCTGATCTTTTTGTCTATTTTTAGACTAATTCCACACTGCTTTGTTTTCACAGGGTTTACAGGCTAGTTTAATCTGGAAGGCAAATCCTCCTTCCTAATCCTTTATAATTTCCCTGGCTAGTTTTGAAAATTTTTCTTCCATATATACATTAAACTATATGCCTTAAAAGATGCAACTACTGGGTGTCAACTTAAGAGAGATGTTAACTGTATACAATTTTCAAGATATATGGAAAGAATTTACTTTTTGGAATATTAAGTCTTCCCATCCTAGAATGTGGACATCCTTTTTTATGTCCTCCAATATGATTTTATATTTCATAATTGATTACATTTTACTTTATAATTATTAAATATTTTATAGTTTTTGTTGCTACTGTGAATGAGCTATTTTCTCATTTCCATTTCAAGTTGGTGATTATTAATTAATGATTAATAAGGAAAGCTACTGAGTTTTACATACTTATCTTGTATCCAGCAACTTTAACAAACATTCATATTAATCCCTTTTTTTTTGAGACGGAGTTTTGCTCTCGTTACCCAGGCTGGAGTGCAATGGCACGATCTCGGCTCACCGCAACCTCCGCCTCCTGGGTTCAGGCAATTCTGCTGCCTCAGCCTCCCGAGTAGCTGGGATTACAGGCACGCGCCATCAGGCCCAGCTAATTTTTTGTATTTTTTTAGTAGAGACGGGGTTTCACCATGTTGACCAGGATGGTCTCAATCTCTTGACCTTGTGATCCACCCGCCTCGGCCTCCCAAAGTGCTGAGATTACAGGCGTGAGCCACCGCGCCTGGCCTCATATTAATCCTAATAGTGTTTTCTATTCAATCCTATCATCACCCAAAAACAGTCAATGTCTTTTCTTTATCAGCATATATACAAATCATATTTCTTTTGTTTTTATAAGAATTACCAAACAATGTTGTATTAGTCTGCTCAGGGTGCCATAACAAAATATCACACACTGGAGGGGTTTAAACAGCAGAATTTACTTCTTATGGCTTTGGAGGCTTAGGTCCCGTCAAGGTGCTGGCTGATTTAGTTTCTGGTGAGAGCCTTCTTCCTGGCTTGCAAATGGCCAACTTCTCACTATGCTCTCACATGGCAGAAAGGCAGGGTGGGAGGGGTGGGGGAAAGAGCAAGCACTCTGGTGTTTCTTCCTCTTCTTAGGGCATCAGTCCTATCAGATCAGAGCTCTACTCTATGCCTTCATCTAACTTTTTATTTTTGAGATGGATTCTCACTCTGTCGCCCAGGCTGGAATGCAATGGTGTAATCTCAGCTCACAGCAACCTCTGCTTTCTGGGTTTAAGTGATTCTACTCTCTTAGCTTCTCGAGTATCTGGGATTACAGGTGCCTGTCACCACGCCCAGCTAATTTTGTATCTTTAGTAGAGTCGGGGTTTCAGGGTTTCACCATGTTGGCCAGACTGGTCTCAAACTCCTGACCTCAGGTGATCCGCCCGCCTCAGCCTCCCAAAGGGCTTGGAATATAGGCATCAGCCACCGCACCCAGCCCTCATTTAACCTTAATCACCTCCTTAAAGGCGTTATGGACTGAATATTTGTGTCCCCCTGAAATTCATATGTTGAAGCTCTAACCCCATTTGTAATCATATTTGTAGACGGGGCCTTTGAGAAGTGATTGGAATTAAAAGTCATGAGGGTGGAGCCCTCATGATGGGATTAGCGCCCTTATAAAATGACACTAGAAATGAGATCTGTCTTTCTCTATACCACATGAGGACAGAGTGAGAAGGCAGCTCTCTGAAAGCTAGGAAAAGACCCATGCCAGCACCCTGATCTCAAACTACCAGCCTCCAGAACTATGACAAAATAAATTTCTATTGTTTAAGCTACTCAGTCTGTGGTATTTGTTATGGCAGCCAGAGTAGAGTAAGACAAAGGCCCTATATCTGGTACAGTCATATGGACAGTTAGAGCCTCAAATATGAATTTTGGGGGAACATAATTCTGTCCAGAGCAAATGTAGAGCAAAAATGATTTAAGTTGGTGTCCTGGTATTATTCCTGATTTTAAGAGTAATAGCATTTTTTTTTTTTTTTTTTTTAAACAGAGTCCACTCTGTCTCCCAGGGTGGAGAGCAGTGGCGTGATCTTGGCTCACTGAAACTTCCACCTTCCAGGTTCAAGCGATTCTCGTGCCTTAGTCACCCAAGTAGCTGAGATTACAGGCTCGCATCATCACGCCCGGCTAATTTTTGTAGACACGTTCTCACCACATTGGCCAGGTTGGTCTTGAATTCCCGGCCTCCAGTGATCCACCCGCTCGGCCTCCTGAAGTACTGGGATTACAGGCATGAGCCATGGCTCCTGGCCTGAGTAGTAGCTTTAGTAAATATGTCTAATCTGTTTTTTTATAGCTTCTGAGTTGCCTGTCATGGTTACAAAGAATTCCTCTGCTCTATTCTGTACACATGATGTCCTAAATTTTCACTAAGATTTTTATTGCTGAGTTTAAAAATTTTTTATTGTGGTAAAATTTACATAACATAAAATTTACCATCCTGACCTATTTTAGTTGTACAGGCACAGTGGCTTATGCCTGTAATCCCAGCACTTTGGGAGGCCAAGGCAGGTGAATCACTTGAGGTTGGGAGTTTGAGACCAGCCTGATCAACATAGTGAAACCCCATCTCTACTAAAAATACAAAAAGTTAGCCAGGCATGGTGACGTGTACCTGTAGTTCCAGCTACTCAGGAGGCTGAGACAGGAGAATTGCTTAAACCCAGGACCTGGTGGAGGTTGCAGTGAGCTGAGATCCTGCCACTGCACTCCAGCTTTGGGTGACAGAGCAAGATCCAGTCTCAAAAAAAAAAAGAGTAATAGCTTTAGCATATCGTTTTATAAATGATGCTTGTTCTTGGAGTTTCTAGTTAATAATTTTTAGCATATTTAAGTCATTTTCATTCATTTCTATTTTCTTTGAAATTTCACTCAGAATGGCTCCAGAATTTTAGTCAATGTTACTTACCATATGTTGATGGAATGCAGTTTTCTTTGAGATGGAGTTTTGCTTTCATTGCCCAGTGTGGAGTGCAATGGCGTGATCTCGGCTCACTGAAACCTCTTCCTCCTAAGTTCAAGCGATTCTCCTGCCTCAGCCTCCCAAGTAGCTGGAATTACAGGCGCCTGCCACCACATCCAGCTAATTTTTTGTATTTTTAGTAGAGACGGGGTTTCACCATGTTGGCCAGGGTGGTTTCAAACTCCTGACCTCAGGTGATCCATCTGCCTCAGTCTCCCAAAGTACTGGGATTATAGGCGTAAACCACCATACCCAGCCTATTCTCTTTTAATTTGTCGAGCTAATGAATTGCAATGGTATGGAGGTATCCTTGCATTCCTGAAATAAACCATACTTGGCCATGGCATATTATTTTTTGATAAGCTGCTTGATTCTGTTTGCTACTGTCTTATTTATAATTTGTTCTTCAATATTAAACACAGAGATCTGGGTCTATAGATTCTCGGAGCTCTATCATTTTGGTGTGTTAAGCTTTGCTATGGTTTGGGTGTTTGTCCTCCCAAACCTCATGCTGAGATTTTATCCCCCATGTTGGAGGTGGGTGCGTGGTGGGAGGTGTTTGAGTTATGGGGTGGATCCTTCATGAATACGTACGTGGTGCCCTCTTCATGGTAATGAGGGAGTTCTAGCTCTCTGAATTCCCCCGAAAGCTGGTTGTTTAAACAAGCCTGGCATCTACCACCCACTCTTTCTTGCCTCTTCTCTTGCGGTGTGATCTCTGCACACCAGCTCCCCTTCATCTTCCACCATAAGTGGAAGCAGCCTGAGGCCTCACCAGTAGATACTAGTGACATGTTTCCTGTGCAGCCTGCAGAACTGTGAGCCAAATAAACCTCCTTTCTTTATATTACCCCATTTCAGGTATTCCCTCACAGCAACACAGACTTAGACAACGTATAGACAGAGGCCTCATAACATGAATTGAGGTTTTAATCTTTTTCTGTGGCTTGAAGTATCGTAATTAACTTTCAAATTATGTGATCTCTAAAGGTTGGTGAGAGCTCAGCTGTGAAGCCATCTGGAGCTTTCTTAACCGTAGCTTTTTAATCACCTCTCTAATCTCTTTTTTTTGGCAATTAGTTAATTCAAGTTTTCTACTTTGGCTCAGCTTTATTATTTTACTAGGAACCTGTCTGTTCCATCCACATTTTCTTGGATTTTCCTGGCCTGCATGGCACAGTCTGTACTGAGAGGAAGAAGGCCATTTCCACTGGTGTCCTTGGCCATGAGTGGGTCAGGACATCTTGTCCGCCTGGGAAGCAAGGAGGAGTGGAAGGAGAACCAGCTTCATCTCTAAGGCTTCAGAAGCCTTCTTGCAAAGAGATGGCCACCCATTCCTTGGGGGTCCAAGATGTGAACAAATGTTCACACCATCCTGCAGCCTGCAACCCCGGTAGGTAAGAAGACCCCAGCCGTGTTGCTTCCTGGAGTGGCCCACCCATAGCATTCTGCCTAAAAAAGCAGGGTCCTGGAGTTCGAGGACTTCCCAGTGTACAGGGCGCGGGACACACCTCTTGTCTCTTGGGAAGTACCGGGAGTCCAGCCTTTCAGGTGGCAGGAGAAGCGGCGGGTGGGGACTGGCGAGTGGAGGTGAGGGGCGCTGTGAGGCAGGGCGGTATGGAGGGTGGGGGGTGGGGTGTTGTAGGGCGGGGCGGGGTGGTGTGGAGGGCTTAGGGGGCTGGGGGGGCCGTGTGGGCCCTCGGCGGCAGGCGCGTTGGGGTGCTGGTGGGCTGGGGGCGGGAGGGTGGGACGGTGTGGGGCCATGCGGCTGCGTGGGCTGCACCCATGCCCAAGGTAACCTCGCGTCACCAGCTGGCATGAGATTTGGTAGGAAAGCGGGCTTGTCACAGGAATAAAATCCACCGAGGTTCTCCACCTCCACCGCATCCCCCAGTCACAGCGCCCTCCTCCGCGCTGGAACCCGCTGCCGTGCAGGAAGGACAGCGCCGTGCCCAGGGAGCCGACAGAACTCCTCCGTCAGTCGCGTCCTTTCCTGCGCAGGATAACTGACATTCTGGGAGCGAACGGGCCGCATCTCACACGGCTGCACGACGCCAGCGGTGCGAGCAGTCGGTAGCGGGGCCATTTCCCGAGGGTCTCGGACGCCCCCCCCCCCCAGCGGCCGCTCTCCCGCCCTATCTGTCACCTCCTCGTTTTCCCACGAAGGCGCGAACTTTCCAGACTCTCGCCGGTCCTCGACAGCACCCATTCAGTCTCCACCCCTGGAGATCCCAGGCCGTACTCAGGGCCAGAAAAGGAGGCGGATACGACTGCAGTGTGGAGTCCTCACTTCTCCTGAGGGAGCCGGGCGGGGAGCGGGGAGCGGGTAGCCGGGAGCCACCGAGTCCTCGCTCTTCCCGCGTCCTAGAGCGGCTGGGTGAGCCTCACTTCCGGCCTGTGTCCTGCTGACCTGACCTGTCCTCGACCCGCCAGTCCGGCGGTGAGTTGGACTGACTGGTGGGCCCTGGCGCCGGGCTTTTCCCCGCGGGCAACCGAGCTGGCTGACCAGGGGTGGGGACCCGCGAGTGACCCGGAAGGGGCAGGGTGGCGGAGCGGACCCCCGTGGGGGCGGGGTCACCGTGCTCCTGCGAAGGGCCATAGGGGGTGGAGTCTATCAAGGGTGCGGGGCGTGGTCACGGAGCAAGGCCTATAAAAGATGCAGGGTCGCGCGCCGCAGCCTATGAAGGACGCGAGATGTGGTCACTGGGCGGTATCTACAAAGCGTGAAGGAGGTGAGGTCGCGGGCGGAGTCTATAAAGGGAAAGGGGCGTGGTCACTGGGTTGGGACCTTGAAGGGTGAGGGGTGTGTTCCTGTGGTGGGAGTGTTTGTGAAGGATGAGGAGCGTTTTTCCGTCATGAGAGACTGAAGGGTGAGGGGCACTTTCCCGGCTCGAGGGTCTGTGAAGGGCGAGAGCCGTGTTGCCGGTGGTGTGGGTCTGTGAACGGCGAGGAGCCTGTTTCTGGAGCGGGATATGTGAAGGATGAGTGACGTGATTTCTGGGTGAGGTTAGCGCAGGAGGGAAGTTGTGACGGAGCTGTGTCCTCTAAGGTAGGGGCGTGGTCTCTGAGCAGGGTCCGCCATTTTGTCTGGTGGAAATTGGAAATGGAGTGTCCAGGGACAAGCGGGACTCCCACCTCTGGCCTCATCCTCAGCCCTGCGTTTACTCCACTTGTACTGCCAGAAAGCGGAGTGGTGGCAGTCACTTTAGGATTTTTCCTGAGACGATCCACCAATCCGAAGTAAACTCAAGGAGGTGAGATGAAATCATTCGTTCATTCATTCCACTCACGGGTCACCCAGGGCTCCTCTCTCAGCTCCTCTTTTCACATCCAATGCACCAGAAGATATCTGGGAGCCGCCCTCCTGTCCCTGCATGGCTCTTGGGCCGGAGCATGCTAGGGGTGGTGGGGGCCAGGGAATGGCATAAAGAGGGAAATGGGGAGCAGAGCCTGGCTCTTTGCAGGACTCTTAAGTATGAATGGCCATGGGGTGGTGATGACAGGTGGTACCTGTGACTTAGTGGACGTGGGGCACTGAGATAGGAAAAGGCCACTGGACCCCAACTGCGCCCTGGACCACAGGTTTCCTCCCCTGTCCTCTCCTGCCTCCAGACTGCCCTCTTTAGGCAGCCAGGGTGAAGTCTTCTGCTGCTCTTTTAATTTTGAGAATGTTCAAATCCACTGAAAAGTACTATGAACATCATAAACCATTTAGATTCTACAGTTGTTGACATTTTGCCACACTGATTGTGTCTTTGAATATATTTACTTTTTATTGCTGAAAAGTAATTTGAAAACACCATTGAACCTTGAATAATACAGAGATTGGGGGCACTGACCTCTGTGCAGTTGAAAATCAAAGCATAACTTTTGACTTCCCTAAAATTTGCTAATAGCCTACTGGTGACTGGAAGCCTTATGGATAATATAAATAGTCAACACATATTTTTTATGTTATGTGTTATATACTGTATCCTTTTTTTTTTTTTTTTTGAGATGGAGTTTCACTCTTATTACCCAGGCTGGAGTGCAATGGTGTGATCTCGGCTCACCGCAACCTCCGCCTCCTGGGTTCAGGCAATTCTCCTGCCTCAGCCTCCCGAGTAACTGGGATTACGGGCTGCGCCACCATGCCCAGCTAAGTTTGGTATTTTTAGTAGAGACGGGGTTTCCCCATGTTGACCAGGATCGTCTCGATCTCTTGACCTAGTGATCCACCCGCCTCGGCCTCCCAAAGTGCTGGGATTACAGGCGTGAGTCACTGCGTCCAGCCTTATATATGCTATTCTTAAAAGAAAATGGTATTCAGAAAATAATAAGAAAATATTTTAATATTCATTAAGTGAAAATGGATTATCCTCATTGTCTTTACATTGAGTAGGCTGAGGAGGAGGAGGAGGAAAAGGAGGGTTGGTCTTGCAATCTGAGGGGTGACTGAGGTAGAAGAAAATCCAATTACAACTGATCCTCGAAGTTCAAACCTGTGTTGTTCCAGGGTTAGCTGTAATTTGCAGACATCGTGACACTTCTTAGATACTTCAGCCTGTTTCCTAGCAATACCTTATTTCAACTGAGAAAATTAACAATAATCCCATGGTCACATAACTCTTAATTCTCCAGTTGTCTCTAAAATGCCTACATAGCTGAATTGTTCCCCTCTAAGTCAGAAGCTAATCAAGGTTGTACATTGCATTTAATTGTGTCTCTTCGGCGTTTTTTTTTTTTGAAACAAGGTCTCACTCTGTCCCCAAGGCTGGAGCACAGTAGTGTGGTGATGGCTCATTGCATACTCAACCTCCCAGGCTCAGGTGATCCTCCCACCTCAGCCTCTGAGTATTTGGGACTACAGGTGTGTGCCACCATGCCTAGCTAATTTTTCGTATTGTTTTTTTTATAGAGATCAAGTCTCAACATGTTGCCCAGGTTAGTCTCAAACTCCTGGACTCAAGGGATCTACCTGCCTTGGCCTCCCAAAGTGCTAGGATTACAGGCCTAAGCTACTGTGCCCTGCTGGCTTGTTTAATTTGGATTAGCTTCCCTGCTTTTTGTTTCTCTTTAGGACATTGACTTGTGACCATGTGTGGCCGTCTATCTGTGTTACGCCCCGTATTCTGGGTGTAACCTGGAGCCCACACAAATTAACACTCTCTGCCCTTCATGCTCCACTGGGTGGAGTCTTGGTCTCTGCTGTCCATGAGGCAGAGGTGGCTGAGGTGACATGTAGCCAATTATGGGCTGCCCCCTACCCCTTGGGCCCCACCTGGCTGGGGAGAGACCCCTGCTGACCACCTTGCTTGGGTCCAGCTCAGGCCATGCCCCTCCACCAGCAACTGCAGTGCCATAGTGGCTTCTTTTGTGGTGGGTTCTTTTGAGGGGGTACAGTGAGGCTGCAGAGCTGAGACCTTAAGACAGATATGGCTGTGGGCCAGGGGCCTGGGGAGGAAGTTGATTTACAAACCCGAGTCAGTGTGGTGTGAGCCAGGGGCCAGCAGAGACTGGGAGGCCAAGGACTAGGGTGGTGACTGGGGGCAGGGAGCTGGGGGGGGTGCTCTGGCCAGGCAGGGGTGGGGGCGGCTGGGGAGGAGGGGAGCAGGTAGAGGAGTGAGCCCCTGCCCCATGCCATTCCTAGCCTGGGGCCTGGTGCCTGGTGCCAGCTCTACCAAAATGCATTTTCTCCAGGCCCATACTGTAGGTCCTCCTGCAGGCGACGGAGAATGCACACCCCTCCAGCATGACTCCAGCCCCTCTTGAGCATGCCTCACCCCAGCAAGGCACTGATTTGAGGTGCTCTAGGGAGGAGGGCAAGCTGGAGATCTGAGGGAGCCTGCAGTGGACCTGAATTCTGGGGGTAGGAGAGGGTATCAGGGAGAGGTGTTGCCAGGCAGGGTTGGGGTCAGGTCACATCCTCTAGACTCCAAGCAGTAGAGACACAGCATCACTCTTGAACCTGAATTCAAGGGCTCCACAGCAGCACTAGGCCCAGGTGAGAAGGTCTTACGTGCAGGTGCCCTTCATGCTGAAGGAAATGCAGTCACCAGCTCCTAAGAAAGCTTGTGACCTGGGGCCACTGCAGCAGGCAGGTCTGTGGGGCAGGGGATTGCCCTCCTGTGTCTTCCTTCTGACACCCTGCCTCTGTTCTTCCTAGGAGGAGCCCAGCCATGGTGGCCTAGCCCCAGGTGAGCTGGTCTTTAGGGAGCAGTTGCTGCCCAAGGCCTCTCCACCTGGAGAGGCCTGGAGCCCCTTGCCCAGCGGATCCTTGGGGCTCTGAGAACAGAATCTCCCTCCTCAGATCCAGGCCCACCCGCTGGCTGCCCCTTCCACAGAGCTGAGCAGGGTACAGGGTCCTGAAGGGAGAACCCAGTTTTGAGGGTTCTGTCACCTCTTCCCTGCCCAGCCTACCCCTAGCTCTTTTCCTAAACATCTGCCTGGAAGGCAGGGAGATGCATGCAGAGCCTCTTGCTAGAAACAGTCCAAGCTGCAAGGTGTGCCTGCCCTTGGGCAGGGGTGAGGCTCTCTGGGCAGTAAGCATCCATGATTCCAGGGCATGGTGATGTTTGAGGTGGTGGCCTTGTACTTCACATGGGAGGAGGGGTAGCACCTGGGATCCCCTTAGAGAGCACTCTAGCAGAATGTGATGCTGGAGAACCACTGCATCCTACCAGCTCTAGGTAAGCATCGCATAGTGGGCTTCAGGTCCCTGCTCGCCATCCCCAGGTGATTGGTCCCCTGGGCTCTCTTGACTCATAGACCAAACATTCCCAGTCCATGCTGGGGTACCCATGTCCCAGCAGGTAGTGCCCAATGGTGTCATCACCCATAATTTCTTCTTGAGACTTCCTCTGGATCCCCCTCCTTTTGCAGCCTCTCTGGCCCTCAGCCAGGGGCAGCTCAGATGTTCAAGCATTGACTATTATCTTCTTGATAAACAGGTTTTCCAGTGTCCACACTCAGGGTTATCTCCCAGCTGGAGCAGGGAAAAATGCATGGGTCATTGCTCTGCCAGGACCTCCCTGCACAGGTGAGTGATAAGGTAGGTGTCTCAGGGGAAGCTGTGATGCATTGTGCATATGCGCTGTGGGAGTGGTGAGGGGGTGGTTCAAATAGCTAGCTGAGAGACCCCTGATTGTCTATTCTGGTTCCCTTCCTGGCCCCATCGTCCCTCTGAAGGGAAGTACAAGTCCATTGTGCTACTCCATGTGCAGCTACTCGGGTGGACAGCCATTTTCTAGTGGTGACCAGCCTTCCCTGATGAGGTGATTAGCATTTACATGTCAAAGTACAAACAGAACTCCACATTGTGGTCACATTGGAGTATGCCCCCAGTACCCTCTCCTGCTTCCACAGTTTGCATGCTGCTTGCATGCAGGCATTCTTCTAGGTGCTGGGGTTAAGTATAAGCAAAACCAAGTCCTTGTCTTCAGGAACTGTGGATTTTGGTTTTTGGAGAACACCGTAGTTTGGGGAAGAATTATTTATTCTGTCCTGATGTCCTATCTTATTGTTGGTTTCCACATTAGAATATTAATGGACAGGGATTTCATTCATTCACCAAGTCCCTGGTACCTCAAGCAGTGCCAGGCACACAGGAGGTAACTGGCACTGCTGGAATGAATCCCTGGTTCTGTAGTTGTCACTTCCTGCTTTGTGCACTGCACCATCAAGGTGCTGCAAGGACTTGTGTGAGAAGGCATTTGCCCTCAGCATTTCATAGTCCAGTCAGAGAGAGATGGACTAAGCATGATACAAAACAAAATGGAATAAAATAATGAACAGAAGGCAACATAAAACTCAGGCCGAGACATACGAACTGTACAGAAATTTGCTTTGGCTCAATCATAAGACTTCTCTCTTCTTTAACAGAGAAACTTTTAATTTCCATTCTTTGTTTCAGATTCTCAGATCAAGACAAAGCATAAACAAGCAACCCCAACAGAAAAATCTTCTGAAGACAATTACAAGGAGTAACTCAAGAAATTTTCCTGAGAGGCAATCCAGAGGAGTTTGAGTTTTGATCAGCTTGTGGGAATGAGACAGGAGCAGAACATTACTGGAAAAAATTAACAATAAAGAGCAGGATGAAGTTACTTTCCCAAAAGAGAGGTTTAAGGCAAGTGGTCAGCTCCCACTTCAAAACCAGTGCAGCAGAGAAATATCAGGAATATAACAAATTGGAGAAAAGTTTGTGTCTGGACACAAAGCCTGTTGTACCTCTAAGGGACAGGCCAGGAGAGAGAGCCAGAGGATGGAGATTGGGTGGCTGAAGCTTTCCATGTGAGTCATGTGTGAGTAGACATTAGGCAGTTACCAGTGGTCAAAGCCCCATGGATGTCATGTGTGTGGGAAATCTTTCAACAAGAACTCAAACCTTACTTGGCATCAGATAATTCATACTACAGAGAAGCCCTACGTATGTATCGAATGTGGGAAAAAATCACAACTCAAGCCTTACACAACATCAGAAAATTCACTGTGGATGGTGAAATCCCATCTCTACTAAAAATACAAAAATTAGCTGGGTGTGGTGGTGCATGCCTATAATCCCAGCTACTCAGGAGGCTGAGGCAGGAGAATTGTTTGAACCAGGGAGGTGGAGGTTGCAGTGAACTGAGATTGTGCCCTTGCACTCTACACTGGGTGACAGAGCAAGATTCGACATCTCAAAAGAAAAAAAAAGAGAAAGAAAAGAAAATTCATGGTGGAGAGAAACCCTGTGTGTAGTAATGTGGCAAGGGCTTTAGGGAGACATCAAAGCATGTTAAATATCAGAGAATTCATACTGGAGAAAAGCCCTATAGGTGGAATGAATGTGGCAGAGCCTTTAGTGAGAATTCAAACCTTATTAAACACCAACTGATACATATTGGAGAGAAGCCCTAAAAATGTAGAGTGTGGGAAAGCTTTTAATCTGAAAGCAAATCCCATGCAGTATCAGAGAATTCATATAGGAGAGAAACTTTTCCTTTTTTTTTTTTTTTTTTTTTTTAGTGCCACAAATCAGATACGAAGAGAGAAACTTTCTGAATGTAAAGAGTGTAGAAAAGTTACAACCAGCCATCACACTTGATTCATAATCAAAGGCTGCATTATTGAGAGAAGCCCTAGAAATGCAATGAGTATGGAAGGGGCTTCAAACATCATACCTGATTGATCACCAAAGAATACACACTGGAGGGAAAACTTACACATGTGTTATGTGTGGGAGAGGCTTTATTCAGATGTCACACTTGATTCATCACCACAGAACACATTTCTGTAGAGAAGCCACATGCATGTGGTGAATGTGGGATATGGTTCAACCAGCGCTCAACCCTTATTAGACATTAGGTTATTCACACCATGGATACCAAGTATAAGTTAAAGGAATCTGGGCAGGCTTTCATTGTGAGCTAGCTTCTCAGTCACTATCTCACAAATCCTACCTAAGAGGAACCCCTCAATTCACACAGGAGGGAAAAGCATCCAAGAATGCAACAGAGGTGGGAAGCCTTTCATTGTAACTCATTATACAATGTCTGGAAGTTCCTATTGGAGAAAACCCCCATGGATGTAATGAATGTTGAAAAAGCATTTATTTGGAACTCACATTATTTACAATGAGATGATTCATACAGGATATAATGGATATAAGTGAGGCTTTGGTGTACTATGGGAAGTAGGTGGAAATTTGGGTTCCTGCTGTTGCCATCTGCTCCCTTTTGAATAAAGTGCCCTAGCAGGTGTTTGCCTCAGGGTGGTCATGCTCTGTAGGGAATCTTGCTTTATACCAGGACTGTGAGATGGAGACAAAGACAGCATTATTCCTGGCTGGGAATGCCATTGGAAATGCTAGGGGAGGCCAGTGGTCCATGTTGTGGTCTGATCCCAAATATGCAGAAGCCAGAAGTAGAGACCAGACCCAGAGAGAAGCAGATAAACGCAATCCCCAAAGTGAATGCACAGGAAAATGGAAAACTGCAAGAGTTGGTGTTGGGTCCCCAGAGCTGCCTTTTTATCCTGAACAATAAGCAATGAATGACTCAAGGTCTTCATGAAACCAGGGAATAGCTGAGGCAGCTTCCTAAACCTCTGCACTGTTTCTTAAGTCTAACATGTAGAATGGGTGTCAGCTGTGCCAACATGTAGGATATGTATTTTCTTTTTTTTGAGACGGAGTTTCGCTCTTGTTACCCAGGCTGGAGTGCAATGGCGTGATCTCGGCTCACCGCAACCTCCACCTCCTGGGTTCAGGCAATTCTCCTGCCTCAGCCTCCTGAGTAGCTGGGATTACAGGCATGCACCACCATGCCCAGCTAATTTTTTGTATTTTTAGTAGAGACAGGGTTTCACCATGTTGACCAAGATCGTCTCGATCTCTTGACCTCGTGATCCACCCGCCTTGGCCTCCCAAAGTGCTGGGATTACAGGCTTGAGCCACCGCGCCCGGCCAGGATCTGTATTTTAATCAGAAGGCAATCTAATGTGGCTACTGGCTATAGTGAAAACTTCATTCTAAAGTCAAGGATTTTAACATAAGCTGCTGAAGGCGTATGTTGAAATAATTTTTAAAATGAAATCAAGGCTGGACACAGTGGCTTATGCCTGTAATCCCAGCACTTTGGGAGGCCAAGATGGATCCCTTGATGCCAGGAGTTTGAGATCAGCTTGGCAAAATGGTGAGGCCCCCATCTCTACAAAGAAAATTAGCCAAGCATGGTTGTGGGCACCTGCCATCCCAGCTACTTGGGACGCTGAGGTGGGAGGGTCATTTGAACCTAGGAGTTTAAGGCTGGAGTGAGCCTCGATTGTGTGACTGTACTCTGCCCTGGGCAACACAGTGAGACTGTCCCAAAAATATGTGTGTTAAAAGATTGCTTATGTCTAGTTCATACCTCCTAAAGGTAATTTGAATTAAAATAATGATGCATACAGTAAGGTCATTAAAGTAGAAAAAAATAAAGGATTATAAAGCCATTGATGGTAAGAGCAATTGATTTTGTGAACTTCAAATCACAGGTATAACTGAATAGTTCATTGTTTGCCCAGTCTGGTCAGTGGCTCTGCAGGCTCTGATAACCCTACAGTTGATGGAAGTTTAGAATGACTCCAAATTATTCAGTAACACATCTAAAGACAGTCTTTTGTCTGTCCCTACGATGGCCAACGACATCGAAAGTGAGAGTCTGGGGGGATTAGAGGAAGGGTTTTGAGGGCCAGGTGCGGTGGCTCACGCCTGTAATCCCAGCACTTTAGGAGGCCAACCAAGGTGGGCGGATCACGAGGTCAGGTGTTTCGAGACCAGCCTGGCCAACATGGTGAAACCCCATCTCTACTAAAAATACAAAAATTATCATGGTGTGTTGCTGTGCGCCTGTAATCCCAGCTGGGCTCCTGCTGTGGATATCATCAACCACAGCCACCTAGAGGCACACTCCCAAGATATCTATTTTTCCTATAGAGAAGTCAAATTCTTCTTCCTACCTTCAGTCCTTAATTCTCATTCTGCAAGTACTCAACAGTCCTTTCCGACCCATGCATCCCCTAAATGAGTCGGAAAGATACAAGGTTTTCTGAGGGAAAACCTGGCGCCATCGCGTCAGCCACGTTTTCAGAGGGGCGTTTTCCGCAGGGTGGGAGCTGCCGTCTGACCACAGGTTTCTCGAGGCCCTGGATTCTTCTGCTCCTTAAACCTGGGGTTGCGGCCTAGTTCCATGAGGGACTCTGTGGCACCCGGCCTCTGGGCCCCTCCTCTCCCGCCCAGGGCGCCTCTTCCCTCTTCAACTGCCGCAGGGGCACCAGGACCGCTTCTCACTGGACAGCGTCTCTCGGTGACCTCTTGTGCTCCAGTGGCGTCACTGACCATCAAGATGCCCCAATTTGCATCAACATCACAGCATGGTTTGCCGGCTGTAGGTCCTGACTTCACCAGGATGTCCCACAGGCGCTTCACACTAAGAGCCCAACTCGTCCCCTTCTCGCCCAGACGCGGAGCTGCAGTCCGGGGCCGTTGAACCATCGAGTGGGCGGTCATCCGGGTGTCCCAGAGCGGACCTAGAGCTCGCGCGCAGACCTCCGCGGATGGCTACTTCCGGTGCGTTCCCAACAAGTTTCCGTCTCGGGTCTCCGACTGCAGCGCTCCATTTGGGCCGGCGGGAAGCGCGGACTCGTCCCTGCTGTTCGCCCAGCGTTCACTCAACACACATCCCTCACCGTCCGAGGAACCCCTAGAAGTGGCTGTGGGCCCGATGGTGGCGGCGTGTGGCGGGGTCATGCCCAGGAGCGCTCTCTCTCCCGGAAAGGGAGGCCGCCTCGCCCCGCCTCGGAGTCTGGGCGTTCGCTTTGCCGCCTCCTGGGCGAAGCGCGCCCGAGGGGGTTGTTGGCACAAAAGTGTGGGGAGGGGGAGGGGCCCCGTCCCGGCTGCGCCAGCCATGCGTTTCTTGCCTCGCCTGGCCGTTCCTGTGCGGCGGGAACGCGAGGCGCTCGCAGAGGATGCCGCTTCTGAGTCCACGCTCAGAATGGCTCCTGGGGTCCACGCAGGAGCCCCCAGCGCGCACCTCTTCCAGTGTTTTCAACCTCAGTTCTGGCCCAGTGTCTCGAATGCGTAGAGGGCGAGAAATCCTTGCATCCCCAAATGGGTCGGAAAGATCAAAGATTTTCTGAGGGATTCCCGGCTTGTACGAAATAGCATCACACAGACACACGATTTTCTGAGGGAAAACCTGGCGCCAACCCGTCAGCCACATTTTCAGAGGGCGCGTTTTCCGTGGGGTGGGAGCTGCCGTCTGACCACAGGTTTCTCGAGGCCCTGGATTCTGCGGCGCCTTAAACCCCCGGTTCTGGGACCTTTAGCCCCACTTTCAGTCCAGCGGAAGCGCCTGCCACCTGGAGGTCGAACTCTGCTCTGACCCGCCGGAGGTCGGGTGCCGCGCGGAGTTTCCGCGGGACTTCCTTCTGTGGAGGTTTAAGCCCGGTTTGTTGCAACGCCGACCAAGCGCGTCGGGGTGGGGTCCCCAGACCCTGAGATGAGGCTTCCTGCCATCTTGGTTTATTGGGAGGCGCAGGCTCGGCCGGTGAGGAATGGGAAGAGGCCAGCCCGGGTGAGCGTCGCCCAGAGGCCGCGGGGAGACCGAGTCCAGTCCTGCAGGGGACTCTGGAGCCCGCTTGAATCGGATCTCACCGCCGTCCTCACGGGGTCGAGGGAGCTGGGCCTTTTCTGCCTCAGCGGCTTTGGGTTTGCCCCAGGAAGATGTGAACAGCGGCAGCCCTCGACCCAGAGAGGCAGGGGCCGCAGGAACTGGGTGCGGGAAGGCGGTGAAGAGCCGGAAGGATACGCGCATGGCAGCCTCAGGAAGTGGCAGAAGAAAGCCTTAGTCTGAATTTGAGATTTTCTCTGGGTTTAACTTCTTGTGGGGTGCCAGACGTTTCCAAAGCAGCTGCCCCATTGTCCATTCCCGTTCTGCATGCGTTCATCCATACCGCGAGACATGAGGGATTCCGTTTCTTCATATCCTTATCAACGCTGTTATCGGCCTTTTTTTTTCTTCTAGCCATAGCTGGTGGGTGTGAAGTGTTGCTTTGTGGTTTCGATTTGTATTTCCTTGATAACTAATGATGTTAAGCGTAATCTCACATGCTTAATGGCCATTTATCTTTGGAGAAATATCTATTCAAACCTTTTGCCCATTTTTAAATTGTCTTATTGAGTTGTAAGAGTTGTTTCTCTGTTCTGGATACAAGTTGTTTGGCAAATAGATGGTTTGTAGATATTTTCACCTGCCGTGGGTTGTCTTTTCAGTTGTTTGAGATGGATTCTCCTCTGTTACCCAGGCTGGAGTGCAGTGGAGGGATCTCGGCTCACTGCAACCTCTGCTTCCCTGGTTCAAGTGACTCTCCTTCCTCAGCCTCCCGAAGTAGCTGGGATTACAGACGTGAGCCACCGTGCCTGGATAGTTTTTGTACTTTTTGACATGCGTCTTGCTCTGTGGCCTAGAGTGCAGTGGTGCAATCGCGGCTTACCACAACCTCCGCCTCCCGGGTTCAAGCAGTTCTCCTGCCTCAGCCTCCCAAGTAGCTGGGACTACAGGCCCATGCCACCACATCTGGCTAATTTTTGTATTTTTAGTAAAGATGGGATTTCACCATGTTGGTCAGGTTACTCTTGAACTCCTGACCTTGTGATCTGCCCACCTCGGCCTCCCAAAGTGCTGGGATTACAGGCGTGAGCCACCAGGCCCAACTTTTGTCTTTTCACTTTTTTTTTTTTTTTTGAGTCGGAGTCTCCCTCTGTCACCTGGGCTGGAGTGCAATGGCGTGATCTCGGCTCACTGCAACCTCCGCCTCCCACGGGTTCAAGCAGTTCTCCTGCCTTAGCCTCCCCAGTAGCCAGAATTACAGGTGCCCACCACCATCCACGGCTAATTTTTGTATTTTTAGTAGAGACGGGATTTCACCATGTTGGTCAGGCTGGTCTCGAACTCCTGACCGCATGATCTACCTGCCTCGATCTCCCCAGGTGCTGCGATTCCAGGCGTGAGCCACCGCGCCCGGCTCACTTTCTTGATGGTGTCATTTGCAGCACCAAAGTTCTGAATTTTCGTGTGGCCAAGACTTTTATTTTTATTTTGTCACTTGTGTTTTCGGTATCTCAAATAATCTGCTTTTGGTTTTCTTCATCCACTTTATTGTTTCCTTTTTTAAAATTTTCATTTTCTTCTTTCTGTTTCATATTCTCTAACATCTTAAACTGAACATTTAACTTCTTAACATATTATTATTTTTTAGAGCGGGTTCTTGCTTAGGCACCTGAGCAGGAGTGCAGTGGTACAATCACAGCTCACTGCAGCCTGAAACTTCTGGGCTCAAGTAATTCTCTCACCTCAGGCCCCAAGTAGCCAGGACCACAGGCTCAAGCCACCGTGCCTGAGCAAGTTTTGTGGTATTTATAGGGACAGAATCTCAGTATGTTGCCCAGACTGGTCTGGAACTCCTGGCTCCAAGCAGTCCTGCCTCAGCCTCCCAATGTGCTAGGATTACAGGTGTAAGCTACTATGTCCAGCCTAAGTTTTGATTTATAATTATGAAAGGACGATAGATTATTTGCCAAAAGTTTATAAGTTAATGAAGACTTGCCTTAGTAATAGACTGATTTTTTTGTTTTTGAGACGGAGTCTCGCTCTGTTGCCAGGCTGGAGTGCAGTGGTACAATCTTGGCTGCAACCTCTGCCTCCTGGGTTCAAGCGATTCTCCTGCCTCAGCCTCCCAAGTAGCTGGGACTATAGATGCACACCACCATGCTCAGCTAATTTTTGTATTTTTAGTAGAGACAGGGTTTCACCCTCGATCTCTTGACCTTGTGATCCACCTGCGTCAGCTTCCCAAAGTACTGGGATTACAGGCATTTGCCACTGTGCCCCGCCAATAGGCTGATTTTAAAGCTCTGAGTAACAGAAGTTGAAGGACAGTATTTTTAGTAGAGATGGGGTTTTGCAATATTGGCCAGGCTAGTCTTTCTTGACCTCAGGTGATCTGCCTGTTTTAGGCTCCCAAAGTGCTGAGATTACAGGCATAAGCCACCATGCCCGACCTTAAGCGTAGAGTCTCCTGGCCTTAAGCTTTCTTAAAGTTTTTATTTAATTTGGAAACCAACAAAAGAAGGATATATTTGGCTGGATATAGTGGCTGTAATCCCTGAACTTTGGGAGGCCGAGGAGGGCGGATCACGAGGTCAGGAGATCAAGACCATCCCAGCTAACACGGTGAAACCCCATCTCTACTAAAAATACAAAAAAAATTAGCCAGGCGTGGTAGCAGGGGCCTGTAGTCCCAACTACTTGGGAGGCTGAGACAGGAGAATTGCTTGAACTCGGGAGGCAGAGGTTGCAGTGAGCTGAGATTATGCCACTGCATTTCAGCCTGACAACAGAGCGAGACTGCATCTCAAAGAAAAAAAGGTATATATTTATTGTGTACAACAT